CTGACCCAGTGGTTCTTCTCTCCATGGGTCAGAGTGTGTCGCATTTAAATACTCCTCCACTTCTTCCTTTGAAAAGTGAAGAGTCCCTGATCTTTCTGTGCCTAGAAGCTCCTTTGTAAAATTAAATGGGTTCTTCAAAAACTCTTCTCTCTTTTCTTCTTCCTCTGCCTCAATTGTTCCGCTCTCTGTAGCCTTGATAGCTCTGTCCTGATGTCATCCATCAACTATGCTATCCCTGCTTTATCCCAGTCCTTCGCTCTTCTGAACTGGTTGTTCAGATCGTTTAATTCTTGCCGATATTCCTTAATCCTTTGTTCCCGCCTATTTAGGGTCTGCTCTTTATTCTCATTTCTTACCTTTTCTTCCATCGTCCCAAACCGCTCTTTCCTAATGTTATACACCATGCTGGTAAGAACCTCTATCTTCCTCTCTACATTCCCTTGAATTGTTGACTCAAGGATTATGCTGACTTCTTCATCGAAGCCACTCCACACCGCTTCATCATCTCATCTTGGCTCTTTTCCTTGCCGTTTCTTTGTGTCTGCTGGCCCTGGCTATTTCTATTTCTGAGTTGCTCCATCAGGTCGCCGCTGCTGCCCTGGGACAATTCAGACACGGAAAGGTTCCTGGCTCTGTGGGTTGTGTCCTGGCCAGGATCCTCCTGTGTCTCACCATATAACTCTGTGTGCTGGATCTCTTTGTTGTCACACTACCACATCGACTTCTTGCTCGATGTATCTTTGGTCTTCGGATGTTCTTGCATTCTTTACCACATGTACATGTGACTTCAGACTTTCCTCCATCTAATGTTAGTTGCACCAACCTTAACCATAACCATCTGATGTCTGATCGAGCCTCTCTTCCTAGCATCCCCCTCTGGGAAGGGCTCTGGGGTTGTTGATCTTTTGTTCCGTCGAAGCTAATTTTGGTGTCCCCTCACAGGGACTGTACAAAGGGACACTGCCACTTGGTACCCATATCCAGACTATTCCTGACAGTCACCTGTCTCTCCAGTGTCACCGGTCTACCCTTGCCTCAGTGATCAGTGATGTGTAAATACAACAAGTCTGCATTTTGTATATAATAGGTCCAGCGCGTAGTAATTGCATGGTTATGGAAAGCTTAATATGGATCTGAAATAGGAAAACTCATTTCTGATGGAATTTTGAAATTATAGTTATATAATTTTGTATCATTTAGTTTATAAGAACATTGTGTATATGTATTAATTTATGACGAGCATGAGTACCCTGGCTGAAAAGTTGTATTAGCTTATTTTCTGTGTTAATCATGATTGTTTCAAAGACGATTTTTGTGTACATAAAATAATTATTAAAATTATTATGTGTAATGTATTTCTGGTGTATATTTTTGTGTTTTTTAGTTTTTGCCCTGTCCCTCCGTCTGTCAGTTTGTCCGCAAAAAAACGTTAACCTTGCCCATAACGTGTGACAGGGTGGGGCTATTGATTTCATATTCCACAGGTATGTTCCTTGTGACATGACCTTTCTTTGGGTACCACTAAATTTTAACCTCTTGACCTTGGAGTTTGACAGACTTTCACATAAAAATTCCAAACTTTTACTTCAGCCATAAATTTAGAACAGTCAGTCCAAGGACTTTCATACTTCACATGTCTTCATTGTGACAAGACCTTTCATCGGATCCCAACATCTTTGACCTTTTGACCTTGGAGTTTGACCTACTTTTTAAATACTTTAACCTTGGTCATAATTTTTTAACAGTGAGGGTTAGGGCTTTCATACTTCACATATATAATTTTTGTGACAAGACCTTTCTTTTAGAAACCAACAAAGTTGACCTTTTGACCTTGACCCTGGAGTTTGACCTACCTTTCAAAAACGTATCCTTTTGAACAGGTGGTGCTAAGGCTTTCATATTTCACAACTGTATTTCTTGTGACAAGAGGCCCATGGGCCACATCGCTCACCTGAGAAACTTTGACCATTCCGTTCTTTACCAGATTTCCCCTTGTAATACATATTGTGACCCCACCCTACCCAAATAATCATAATTTAAACAATTTGAAATCTACACTACCATAGGATGCTTTGATTCAACATTGTAAAACTTTGATTCCCCATTGTGGCCCCGCCCACCCCCCCAGGGGTCATGATTTTAACAATTTAGAATCTACACTTCCCCAGGATGCTTCCACATAACTTTCAGCTTTTCTGGCCCAGTGGTTCTTGAGAAGAAGACTTTCAAAGATTTTTCATTTTTTATTGTAAAACTTTGATTCTCCATTGTGACCCCGCCCAACCCTCGGGGGTCATGATTTGAATAATTTAGAATATACAATACCCCAGGATGTTTCCACATAGGTTTCAGTTTTTCTGGCCCAGTGGTTCTTGAAAAGAAGATTTTCAAAGATTTTTCCCATATATTTCTATGTAAAACTTTGATTCCCCATTGTGGCCCTGCCCACCCCCTGGGGGTCATGATTTTAACAATTTAGAATCTACACTACTCCAGGATGCTTCCACATAACTTTCAGTTTTTCTGGCCCAGTGGTTCTTGAATAGAAGATTTTCAAAGATTTTTCCCCTATATTTCTATGTAAAACTTTGATTCCCCATTGTGGCCCCGCCCTACCCCCGGGGGTCATGATTTTAATAATTTAAAATCTACACTACCCCAGGATGCTTCCACATAAGTTTCAGCTTTTCTGGCCCAGTGGTTCTTGAGAAGAAGATTTTTAAAGATTTTTCCTATATATTCCTATGTAAAATTTTGATTCCTTATTGTGGCCCCGCCCTACCCCAGGGGGTCATAATTTGAACTATTTAGAATCTACGCTACCCCACGATGTTTCCACATAAGTTTCAGCTTTTCTGGCCTAGTGGTTCTTGAGAAGAAGACTTTTAAAGATTTTTCCTGTATATTTCTATGTAAAACTTTGATTCCCCATTGTGGCCCCGCCCTATTCCCGGGGGTCATGATTTTAACAATTTAGAATCTACACTACCCCAGAATGCTTCCACATAACTTTCAGCTTTTCTGGCCCAGTGGTTCTAGAGAAGAAGATTTTTTAATGACCCCACCCTATTTTTGTCATTTCTTGATTATCTCCCCTTGTGAGGGGACTTGGCCCTTTATTTTAATAATTTAAATTCCCCTTAACCAAAGGATGCTTTGTACCAAGTTTGGTCAAAATTGGCCCAGTGGTTCTTGAGAATAAGTCAAAAATGTGAAATGTTTACAGACAGACAGACAGCTAGACAGACAGATGGACGACGGACAAAATGTGATCAGAAAAGCTCACTTGAGCCTTCGACTCAGGTGAGCTAAAAAGTTCTTACTTTGGATACCAACATATGTGATTTGCATTTGATAACATTTAACCTTTGCAATGTTGCCATATGGGGACATCAGTGTTTCACAAACACATCTTGTTTCTCATTAGAAAATGAACTCACTTGTACTGCTGTCGTAAATAAAGTTTTATTTCAGCTTGATTCGTCCAAAAGTCCAGCATGAATTATCATCATAAAGATTCTGATCATAAAGATCACATTTCACTTTTTAATATTTTTTTAGTAATAAAGAAATATCTGGAGATAACGAATAATGAACAGTATTCAAACTCAGTCCATTTAAACAATACAAATCAGGGGCGGAGCAAACAAGGACCTCTAGGACATCAGAGGTAGGATCAAGTACCATGGAGAAGTGAGCATCCCTTGCCGATCGGTCACACCCCCCATGTGCTCCATGCCATGATCGGGAATTAAGGAAAAACCCACCAACAATTCAGTGTGCATATAACGGCCTAGGAATAAATTATGCTTCATTTTTGGTAATACACCCTTTTCCTATGACATATTTTGCCTAGGAATTATTCACCTTAGTCGCCATCTGGTAGGGCAAAGTAGTGAATTTACCTGATTGAGCAACCAATTTTAAGCATGCATGCAAGAAATGTATGGTGGAAAATATTTACAATCTTATATCATGAATCAGTAGAGGCTTTAACAAACGTATCTTCATAAGAATAATAATATATGGGGGAAAATATTTACAGTCTTAAAATTATGAATTAAGAGGCTTTGACAAACATATATATTCATAAAGGAAAATAGCGTTGTCTTTACCTCCATCGTCGCAAACCACGGCCAAAATGTACGATCCTCCAGAGAGCTATATGCGGACTCCGGACTGTGGCTTGAGACGATGCTTTACCTCAGTAACCAGTATAACAAATTGAACCAGGTTGAATAATGAAGGAATTTGGGAATGTTGCCCTACAACATGGTGGCTAAGGGGAATAACTCCTAGACAAAATATGTCATAGGAAAAGGGTCTATAACTTTTTGTGTACATAGTGATCAGTAAAGTTGCTGGACCCTCTGAATTCGATGAACCCTATCAATCCCGGTATCTAAACTTCATAAAATCCTTACAAAGATACTCTGTACATTGCCGGGCCCAGCAAATAATTATATTATACAAACCTATCTTTACTCCTCATAAAAATCTCTGCTGTTAAGGAAAACTTCAGAAAACTGTTCTACAGCATATTCTGTGTATGTCAGATATGGATTCTCTTAAACTCTTAGAAGTTTTAAATAAATAATGCATGTTGACTTTTATCAAATACATGTGTATAGTAATAATCAATATTGATTACTCTCAAAGATAATTATTATATGATTGAATAGAATTATTTAATCATACAATAATACATATTGACTGTTTTTATCAAATATACTAGCAATCAATATTTATTAATCTCATCATTATGGCTTGATTGAATAATGCCTATCTCTTTGATTGGCTGAGATCTGATACTATATTATGTTCACCTGCCCAGACTTTTCAGGTAAACATAACAATTCATTTTTATAAACATTGAACCAAAAATAGATCGGGAAATTCCATACTGATACAAATAGCTTTGGAAAGTTCTTTTTACTTGTTCTGAGGTACTATAAATCATTGCTTCAACAAGGTGTTTGTGATTGATAAGATTACAAAAGTTTAAGGAATAACCATGTTTATTTTGGTACATTGAGTCAGGTGAAAAACCACTACCTGGGATTTACTGACAAATGGGTAACAGCACTCTATAAAATATTTACATGTTTCTATGGCAAGAAAATGAAAATCAAATGTAAAATCAAATAAATATGAGAATATTGCTTCACTAATTCAAAATTCAACTTAATTAGTCAAATGCAATGGTTTGTTTAATCACCGTAAACTTACAACTAACCTGAACACAATCCCTTATGAAATGACACAATGAAAACTAGAACTGTCCAATAGGGACAAATACCCCCCGCTGGGTTTTTCAGAGAAGGTGCCAATTCAAAAATACTTTATGGATCTAGAGGTGTTCACAATTTACTTACAAAAATTTGCAGTGAAATATTATTGCTCATCATGTTTCTTAATGAATGAAACAAAGGTGCAACCAAATGAAACATCAATACTAATACACTGTAATTCCATTGTAACATTTATTTTTTATTTTTTCATTTTATTTTTTTTTTATTTCTGCATTAAAAAAATATATTGCAATTATGTGTTATGTCACTCTGCAAACTGATTGTTGAAAAAAAACCATTATACAAAATCAAATTAATCTTGATATATCAATTTGAAACGCATTTTGAAAATAAAGAGCGGGTCATCCAGTAATGAAGTGCTTTGACAGACAATAAATTACAATTAAGAGAATTAGAGAAGAGAGATCTTTAATTCTTGTGCCTTATTCCCTGGAGATTAGATAACACACACGCTTGATAAGAGATATGCCTTAACAACTTCCAACACCAAACTCATTAATTTATCTTTAACTGGATGCATGTCCAGTCATTATTCCCAAGAGACAAATGAAATTACATTATCTTCTGTGCAATGTAAAAACTGTTTTTAACACTTGATGATGTTTCTTTTTTTTAAGTTTTTATGAGTAGTTTTAAGCTGTAGTATTTTTGAACAGATATTCTAGATTCTATATCTCAAACCTTATACATGAGCCCAAAATGAACAAGTCAATTAAAATAAAAAATAAAACCTGTAAAATGCAAAAAAATTAACAAAAAGAGTTGAAAATTCCAGGTGCACACCTTCATATGGTGAATAATAAGTGTACAAATTTTCAGATTATTCCTTGCAATAGTTTCTGAGAAACGGTCCAGACAAAACCACAAAATAAAAATGAAAAAACACCTGTAAAATTCAAAATAATAATCCAATCAAGATGAAAATATCAGGTGCACAACTTCATATGGTGAATAATATGTGTACAAATTTTCAGACAAATCCTTCCAATAGTTTCTGAGTAATGGTCCGGACAAAATCTCGTCTACAGACAGACAGACAGACAGACGGACAGACGGACAGGGTGATTCCAATATACCCCCCCTACACTTTGTTTGCGGGGGGTATAATAAAGCAGAAAAATATGAAAAAAATGTATGTGAAAGTTGTTTAACTTCTAAAATCACTATAAAACAAGGATACTTACAAAACAGAATGCATTTCTTCTATCCCTACCATGTCCCCTCCCCATCCCCCCAAAAAGGAAAATATGAACAACATAAATAAAATATAACTATCTGAAAAAATATTAATAAAATGAACTAGAAAACTGACCAGTCAGCAAGGGCCCCGCCATGGGGTAGAATTAAAAGGGTGCAGCTTACAGAATGATTAATAAATGTATGAAGAATAAGCAACACCAACTGTATTCTTAAAATTTTAAGATAATTCCTGAATATTCAAAAACCTGAAAATAATATCCTTGTATTTACATAAGGCAGTAAAGAACAACTTAACATTGAATGTATATTTAAACAATTATGAAGCTTGTGTTATATAAAATGCCAGCCTTCAATGAATGCAAATATCATGAAGGCTTGACCTAACTTCAAACAAACAGCAGTTGCAGACAAAGGTTTTCATTAATCTTAAAGCGACAGATAAAGAAAAGCCTACTAAATTTTCTGCAGCAGGCTAGATAATTAATCCCAAGGGATTAATTGTACCTCTCTCATCATTTTCTTCTAAATTTACAATAAGAACTTTTTCAGTATTAATGATAGAATGGGGTTTTTATACAACTACATTAAAAATTAATTATATTCTTGAATTAATATATTTAAAAAAAAAGTGAAAAAAGTCAATCAAAAAATCTTCCTTAATCTATTTCTTCTTTTTTAGAATTCAATGAAATCATAAGTTCTATCAAACAAAAATAAATAATAAAAATTTATATTTAAATCCACATTTCAGAGTGTACATAGCATTCCAAATTGATTTAACTTCTAAACAAACTTCATTTGCAGACAGAGGTGGTAATTAATCTCAATGTGACAGATAAAGATAATGCTCTGGATTTTCTTCAGGAGGAAAGCTAATTAATCCCAAGGGACTCCTAGCAGCATTCAGTTTACAATGGGAACATCTTCAGCAGTTATCTCTCTTTGCCAATGCATTCTTATATAAAGTTAAGGAATGTACCCCACCACCCCAGCTCCAAACCATGGGACATAGAGAACCAAACTTAGCATCAAAATATGTATTTCTGCCTACTGAACTACCGTACCAAATTTGTACTTGATTGGGCTACCATAAAAAAAGTTGCCCATTCATTCTTATGCATAGTTAAGGAATCTACCCCACCAACCCAGCTCATAACCAGAAGACATAGAGAACCAAACTTAGCATCAAAATATCACAGGCACCTGACGTTACTTATTTTTCTTTTAATAAAAAAAATTATACCCTTACCTAAGTTTATTATAAGGTAAGGGTATAATTTTTTTTATTAAAAGAAAAATAAGTAACGTCAGGTGCCTGTGCAAAATATGTATTTCTGCCTACTGAACTACCATACCAAATTTGAACTTGATTGGGCAACCATAAAAAAAGTTATTAGAAAAAAAAAGAAAATTTGTGGACGGAAGAGTGACAGACGGACAGACAGACAGACAGACGGACAGACGGACGGACAGAGTGATTACTATAGGGCACCCGCAAATCCTTGCAGGGCCCTAATAAATGTACAATAAATATCAGCACTGTTGTATTATTCTTGTCCTATAAAAAGTTAATCAGCAAGAAAGTACAAGATGAATCAATGAAGTAAAGTAACAATTAAAGAATTCACATATTTAAAATAGATGGGAATGAGTGTAAAATGAACAATCTGTGAAATGATCTCTCAGTGATGCAGTTATAACAATACAAAACAGGAAACAGACTGGACCGAAATAAGATCTACTATTCAGAAGGTTCAGAAAATCATATCACAGTCAAAGGGAGGCAACCTCAACTGAGGTAGCCATTTCAAAATTAATGGTAAATTTGTTAAAAAACGATTTTGCCATTTTCATTCAAAAAAAGAATGACCATTCAATTTGATGCTTAAATTTGGTTATCTGAGAACATAAAATTTACTTCATTTAATAAGCATTCAGTGTTAAGACAGTTAGAAATTAGCACTGGTTCTCTGCCCTTGATTCCAATCACTGCCACTAGAAAATGTGCTTGTGCCCGTTAACCATTGTCCGGGAACCAGGCTACATAGCAATGTAGTTTATTATTTAATAAAAATATTTTACAAAAATCTATAATCAACAGTTTGAGCAGTTATAATCCAGTAAAATAAAAAAAAAAAATTTTACCATCATGTAATTGAACTACAGTCAGTACTCAGTGGTTACAATATTTGTAAAATTTCAGTTGCTTATCATAATGTATAGGTCAGCTAAATCAAGAGAAAAAGTGGGAATAAACAATAAGCCTTAAAGTTAAGTTGTTCTTCACTTATGAAAAATTAATTACTTAAGTGCACCATTTTCCATACACATTAGTATTTATTTTGTCAAAACCCTTGAACTATAACAGGCAAATTACAGAAAAAATGCTTAATTCTCGGAAACAAATACTGTATACAGGATTATTTTCGCCCCGTCTTATTTTCACCTTTTTCCACCTGCTCACAATTTTGCCCCCTTTTAAATTTGTCTAGTCATAGTTCTGTTTAAGAAACTATACTGTGTTCTTTGAATTTGCCCGGTTTTGAATTCACCCGGTTTTAAATTCACCCACTTGTGAAAAGGGCGAAAGGGGCAAAAATAAAACAGGGATGAAAATTTCCTTGTATACAGTAATTTAAAAATTAAGTAACTCGTGCATGCTAATATTGGTAACATATTATTTATGGTGTTCGTTGAGGTAATTATCAGTTCTATATATCCATGTATGTCTTATGTAACAGTTTTGGTATCTCCCAGTGAACATTGAAAAAATAAAACTGAATCAAATGCTTCACACACATAAAACCTTGTCATTCTTAATGTTTCAGTCTTCTACTATACATGATAGATATGCTTATAATTGTGAAAAACTATTAAAAATCAACAACGAAAAGTAGGTGCATGTCATCAATAAAGTCAAATTAAGCACAAGAAATGATTCTCAAACCTCAGATATAAACACAGCCGAGGACATATACAAGAAAACACTGAACCTTAACCAATAAAATTAACTCTGGTTATTGCACAGTTCATTAAAACACCATAAAATATAACAGAAAAAATCCTATGTTAGCACTAAAATGCTTTGTACCAAGTCCTGGTGAAATATTGGCCTGAGAGGACATGATCTTGCTCTGCAAGAAGCACCACTGTCCATGAGAAACCTCTGATGAACTGTAATTAGCATGCATATTTCTCTCTTGAGACAAAATATATAACATATTTATACTTTTAAACAGTACAGCATTACCACAATAATCTATGAGAATCATGACCAGTGTCACGTTTTGTATATTCTAATAACATCTTTTATTTCTTGTCTACATATAGGACACAGTGCACTTTTATGGTTTTTCACAACTATTGCACACTCAAAGCACATACACATGTGTCCGCAAGTATACAGCACTGCATTGACTGCCCGCTCGTAGCACACTGTACACTCGCTAGCCTCCGTCTCAGCACTAGAGTCCATAGTTGTCTCAGGTGAGGTGGGAAGTGACTTGATGTGACCTAGTTTTTGCTGCGGTGACATTGGTTCAGACGTGACGCCACTGGGAACACTGTAGCTTCTCATCATACTGTGACTAGATGGATGGTGAGGAGTGGATCCAGAAGATACTGGGGTGGTGGTACTGACGGGTACCTGTGCCGCGTTAGGATCGCGGGGAGGGAGGGTCACGGTCAGTTGTGGCATGCTAGTCTGGGTCATGAAAGGAGTGGACCGGGGTCGAGGCGGGATCGGGGGGACGTGTGTTGTCACCCCTACAAGAAAAAGACATTTAGAATGTAATCCAGTACAGATGACTACAAGTGTAGGACTGTAAATATATACTCTCATTGGTACAAGAATATATATATATATATATATACATATACTAGTATTATATATTACAACCTGGTTAATAGAGCTCTTCCTTTTTCTACTATATGCCAAGTGTTATTTATTTTTCTTCCTTTTAAAAACACATTTTACTCCTCAAGTATTTGAAATTCCATATTTAAAGGCAATAAAATGATCAAGAACACTTTAACTTCTAATATTCAGATGTATTCATACAGTTTTTGAAGGTCTTGATAATAAAACTTTATTTGCTTCACTGAATAAAGAATGCTTTAAATGCATATAAACAGAATATGTTTTTTTTACCAATGCTCCGGATCTTTTGAATGTTTCCATAAACATCAAAAAACAACCAGAGGGGAAGAGTCTTGTCTACATGCATCAGGGTAGCAACCTTTGTGTTGTTCTTTGAGTAACGAACTTCACCTGAAATTCAGTTTATAAAAAATTGATATTTTCAATATAAATAAACAAGGGAAAAAGTACCAAGCACATGTTTGATTTTTATAAATAAAACATTTTCCCTAAATGAGATAAAAACAGAGACAATTTATGAGGGCCTGCAAGCTTCCACTTCTGTGAAATAAGACTTAGTGAGGAATATCAAATTATTACACAAGAGATGATCTTGACTATACTTTTCATTAAATGACTCTGATTACATGAATAAAACTCCTGCACAAGTATAAAGGTAGATCGCGGGTTTGCTGACGTCACAATGGGATTTGACGTAAAAAAGCTTACCGCGTTCAGATTAGCAAGCGAAAAATAGCAGTACTGTATGCAGTAAAAGGTGAAATATATGTTAAAGGTTGTTTGGTGTGTTTAATTTTTTTTATATATGTAATTGAGAATAAATGATGTTTTGATGAAATTTGTCTTTAATATTTTATAGTTTTTGACGCTGATATCACATACATTTCTAAAAGGTCGTGCTATTGCCGAATTGATAATACAATACAAAACGGATCATCTACCACCGGTGTGTCTGCCCTGCAGTTTAATTTCTTTTTGTTCACTTTTTTGAATTTTGTTTCGTTTGTTTAATTTAGTCTACACCTTAATCTGCTTTATTTTTATTTGTTTATCATCTCTAACTCATAATACATGTACAAGGTATCCATTTTCTTCGTGATAATGTATGCCTAGATTGCCGGATTAGTAGTATTTGTATGCGCCAAAATTTGTATGAGCCAAGTACAGGTATAAGATTTCTAAAACGACAAAGATTTAAGAAATTGACAGTATATGGTACATCAATATGCTTAATTAACTATCATTTGTGCACGAGTTCCTCTTACTTTTCTTTTGGGGCGGGGGGGGGGGGGGGTAAATTGGTAAATTAGATAATTATGAGCAGGAGAGACGATAATGATTTTGGTAACATCACTAAATAAATATCGCCAAATAAAATATGTACGTCCTATAAATTGTCATTTATAACTCAGACCCTTTTATTATTGACAATCAATAGCGATTCGGCTTAATTACAACTGCAATTATTGTTTTGTATGAGATTTTTTTTTTTTGGGGGGGGGGGGGTCCAAGAGTTGCAGGTCCGTAGTAAGCAATTTCAATTAGGGGCACAGATACTCGTTAATACTTTCAGTTCGGGGTACTATCAACAACCAAAAATTCATGACAAGCATAAAAGAGGAAGAGGTATCAGGGGTTTTAATTGAAGGCCACACGAGCATATATATAATGTTTTCTTATATTAATACCTGTTTTCTATAGTATACTGTATGCTTTCTATAATATTCTACATATCGGCAAAGTGATGATAAGAAATGCCTTTTACGATATTTTGAAGGGAAAACTGAAGTGATTTAATTAAGGGATAGTCAAAATTAATTCATTCTATGAAGTATTTAATGTATACAATGTAGATCATAAAGCTACTTTAATTCAACTGCAATATTTAAAATTTAAAACCGGGTAAATTTTATTAATAGATAAAAATGATGCAATAGTACATATGTTTGAAAATGTTCTCAAATCCGGTAAGATTTTTTTTTTCTTATATCCATGTACATTTGTCATAATATTTTTGCACCCTTAGCCTTACGTTTACTAGTATTGCCTAAAAAAATCTAGAAATCACATGACATTGAAATAGTGCCATGCTGTTGGCAAATTATGGCAATGATAATATCGGAAAATTGAATTCACGGCCGATTGCATGCTTTATTTTGAGTGAATTGTTGATCAATTTAATTTTATTCGAGTCATGCAGGCATACGAAAATAATGACGTCGCACCAACGTAATATAATGTCGTGATGAAAATATAGTACTTCTGATTAAAAATTGTTAAACTTTAAAGTTTTTTTGCAAGAAATTGAGCGAGAACACATATTAATTTTTTTTAATAAATCGATTCTAAATTTACTTCACATTTATTGTACCGAGTAATATAAAATTCATCTGCTTCGTTTTAAAGTTATAATTGTGGTTTTGAAATGCGTATACCGGCAGAAAACGGACATTTTACTATATATTTCATTGAAAAAGCGTCAATTGTTCTCATCAACATTAGCTCATTTGAATTACGATTACAATCTAACCACGCAGACGAATCTCAAAAAATTTTCAGAAAGAAAAATTCAAAATGAGAGGAGTTAACTGACAAATTTTTAGCCTATGTTTTATGTTTTTATCTATAAAATCATAAACTATATATTTGTGTTTAGCTGTACAATGGTTAAAGATATATTTCCAGTTACATTCCTCCATTTACACTTCTGGATCCTAAATATCCCTGGATACTCCAAAGCAAGGGTATATACAGTCAATTCAAACTAAGTGGGACTGAGATATATGAGAATTTAAGATACTGAGGATAAAATAAACAACAGATGTTTGTAAAACACTTATGCCCCCCTCCCCCCAATTGGAATTTTTCCAAGTCCAAAAGGGCATAACTGGCACGGTCGTAACCAAAACATAACTTGACCTAGATATTCATGTGATATTATACATATATCACATGGCTTCAAGGGTGACATACCAGAATATTTGTCCCGAGGTTACAGGAAAGCCCTGGAGTGTTATGTCACCCTCTGCCGACAGGAAAGCCCTGGAGTCTTATGTCACCCGATGCCGAAGGCAGAGGGTGACATAACACTCCAGGGCTTTCCTGTCACCGAGGGGCAAATATTCTGATATAGTCACCCGAGAAGCCATGTGGTATATGTTATATGACATTTTTAAAATTAAAAGAAACTTTAAAATCATTCAAAATTCACACAAATAATCCAAAAATGCCTTCTTAACATCAAGAAATACGCTGTGTTGTTTACTTTTGCTTAGAAACCGACGTCATAAAATCTCGAACCCGAACTAAAATGAGTAACGTAAAAACACGTGAACGTGATCAAAAGGGTGACATAACTGTTTCCGTCGAGAGTGACATAACTGTTTCCGGCATGACATAACTGTTTCCGGTGTGACTCAGCATTTTTCAGGGTTTATAGCGAAACTTATTACATTTGTGATGTAATAAGAAAACTTATTCAAAAATGTTATATATCTGTATACCAAATTTCATTTCAGTATGTGCAACGGTTGCCAAGAAAATGATCGGAAACTGCAAATAATTGGGATTTTTCTAAGTCTAAGGGGCATAATTCTATCAAAAATGGTGCGATCTTACCCAAAACAGAACTAGATCTAGATATTTATACGTTAAATCCATATTCTAAATTTCATTTCAGTATGTACAACAGTTGCGAAGAAAATGAAAGGAAACTGGAAAAAATTTGAATTTTTCTAAGTCTAAGGGGCATAACTTTGTCAAAAATGGTGCAATCGTACCCAAAACAGACTCATGTGATATAATCTGTATACCAAATTTCATTTCAGTATGTGCAACAGTTGTGAAGAAAATGAATGAAAACTAAGTGGATTGACAGACCGACAGACAGCAGCAAAGCAATATGCCCTCCCTTCTTTGAAGGCGGGCATAATAAAGAACAAGAGATGTTTGTGAAACCCCCTCCCTCCCCGACATGCATGCAAAGACTGCAAATAATAGAATTTTTTTAAGTCCAAGGGGATAGCTCAGTCAAAAATTAGTCAATCAAACCCAAAATAAAACTTGAATTAGATATTATTATGATATATCTGTAAAACAAATTTCAGAATGTGCTATATCTGTCAATGAGAAGAAAATGAGTGGAAACTTTTGGTGGACTGACGGACCTACAGACAAACCGAATGACCAACCGACACACAGCAGCAAAGCCCCTCCCTTCTTTAAAAAGGGGGCATAAAAATAGTTTGAACTTCCAACTTCAATATACCGGTACATGTAATATTCATAGTATTCAAATTATTGACGCTCAAGAAAAGCATGTCTTCCTGCTTTGCAGTAGACACTATAAAGGAATCAACTTTATGGGAAGGACTTGATTCATTAGGCAAGAACATTCAAGTAGTCTGTGTCCATTTATATAAGGTTACAGCTTATATACTAGTACTTAGAAGATCAATGGTACAGCATATCATCCAACAGAATGGAAACCAATACACTGCTCAATTTCAAAAATTTAGAATATTGCATGTACTATCACGTGCATGGCTCATTTATGCATGAAAGAATAAAGATGGATTTTTCTTAAACTTATACAGATGACTGAAATAACTGAAAAATACTTCACAAGCAATGCAGAAACTCTGTATTTTCTACCAGAGAGAGTTTGTGGTGCTAGATGGGAAATGACCTGCATCTGAAAGTATTAACCTGGTCAATCATCCGTAAAATATAGGTCACACATTATCTGAAGCAAGACTGGTAAAGTTTCATTCCTTTTGGTAGAGAGAAGCTCTTGCTGAAACAAAAAAACTTTCTCTGATTTAAGTGACCTGGAACTTAAATACTATGAGGAGTGCCTTGCTATCCTGTGTAATGAAAAGTTGTCAAAATTCCCAAATCTGAAGAAATAACTTTTTAAGTATTTTGGTGTTTTATCATGCTTTAAGTTTATTATACATTAAAATACAACGAGCAATTAAGTTTTAACCATTTCTGTTAAATAGTGCTAACAAACTGAGTATAAAATTCTGGGTCCATAAAAGACTTTCAGTGACTTGCACATAAAAAAAACCAACCAAACAAACTAAACAACAAAACGGGGTGTTCGGAAAATCTCGAGTAAATCCTATATTTATCTAGTAGCCGTTTTTAAAAATTCCTACGCTGTCATGTTATCACGTGACTCATTTATTATATCTCCATGATAGGTCTGAATATTCTAAAAACGAGTTACGCTACTAGCTGTCTTTAAAACAAAAGAGAATTATGCAATATATTTACGCAAGTCCTTTCTTTTAAGCACTTGACTTAGTAACGTGTCAAGTTTCAGGAGCAGTAGCCCGCTTCTGACGATTCTGACGTCATATACAATTCATATGGGTTTAAAAGCTTCCGATTTCGAAATAAAATTTGAAATCAAGAAGGTTTTTAGTTAAAAGATTTTATTTTTGCATTTTACATAAACATACATGTGCCTAGATATCATAAATCACATTCAAAATAAGTTACATAACTTTGAAAAAGAACATTGATATCAAACATTTCCACATAACTACATGTTGTATGACCTAATTGTTTGTAAACAATTAATTTAATTTAAGCTTTACATACTGACAGCAAACGTTTACACGTTGCAATGTCAATAGAATTACAATTGATTTATTCAATTAGTATAAGTTTTATTTGATTACACAGCGTGACGTCATAACACTTGCATATAAAACACTATATGAGGTACATGTATGATTATTATAAATTATAATTGAAATTTCAGACATACATTCTTGGTGTTTTTTGGAGTTTGTGGTAATATACAGTTAGAGATCAAGTGAATTCACAAAGAAAAGACTTCGCGGTTTACACCAATTAATTATCCACATGTAACAATGTGTATATTTAACTTTGAATGACAATTAAACATAAAAAAGACCCTGGACATCTCTTTCTATTAAACAGACATATCACTGTCAAGTACAACATGCAAGACAAATGATTTTTTTCTTAAAACAGCTGTCATATTTGTTTTTAAAATACAGGGTGTTTCAAAATATCTGTTCCATACAAACTTTTTGCATGAACATGTAGTTCTTACGTAACATCGCTGCATAAGATAAAAGAATTTCCGATAAAGCAGACAGCATGACATGTAAAGAAATTTTATGATATAGATTTGTCAAAATCATTTGAGATGGGGGTGGGGGTTATTGGTTGGTTCAGATCTAGAACAGAATTTTGTTCTTCAATCGATTATGATTATTTACTTTAGAGGATCGAGGGGTTTATTCCTGAGTCTGTCGCATTTTCTTTTTCCTGTCCTGGTTTTCTATTCTCAGGCATTCAATGAAAAATGAGCTCGGTAGGTTTTCTTCAGTCAGTCCTTTTGGGGTGGGGTGGGGGGTGGGGTGAAAAAACTGAAGTAGCTTTCATACAGAAAGTCTAAGAATCTTGTCAACAAACCATCAGCTACTAAGGCTAAATCAAAATCATTAAGTTTTTCCAATTTCCCAAAGAAGCGCTTGATATTTTACTGCTTAAAATTCCTAATTAGTTTCAACTTTATAAAACTGGCAAATTATAAGAAAACAATTAAATTCATACAATTCTTGTTTACATATATTTTTAAGGCAGTGACAGTCGTACGTGGTATTGCTATAGGATATTATGGAACACTCTGTATCTATTTTGAAAAAAAGTGTACCATTGCAAGATTATTTAAGAACTGCAGGCAGTGGACCATTAACCAGAATGTCAAAAGTCTCTGAGATTTTGTTCTTCTTTGTACTTGTGAGTTTCGTCCACAAACAGGGCTATACGGGTAGGTCTCATATTAGTAATTACACATTTTTATTATTTTCAAATACATTATTTTGTTTTACTTTAAATATAACTTTTTTGTACTATCTGTTTGGGACTTTCCATTTAGAATAAACAATGTTGGGAGACTTTGGGAAGAGCGTGCAAGTCACGCCCTTTACATTTTTAAAGGTATTCGCTCCAAAATCATTTTGGCAAAAACTATATATTGACAATTTCTAATCTAAAAATTGAAACGGATAGATTTCAAATCATGCAAATTTTAAATTGATCTGTAGTAGGAAAAACCACAGCAATAATTTATTTATTTTTGACATATTGCGGGAAAATTACAAAACTACACTGCGCGGTGCCATTGTGGTATTTGAAAAATTTAGGTTGTGTGCAGAGATAAATTTGAGAAAGATATAAATACATAAAAAAAAAAATTTTTAATTGGTTAATATTACATAAAAGGAAGATTTACAGAATGTAAAATATGGATCCAAATAATTTGATGTATTAACAAAGTGATGGTTTAATTTTTTAACCAGTTGTGAAGGGGTGCTTACTCTTCCATGACACCTGATCCCAAAGCTGTTATTTGTATCGTTTAAATGGAACTTTGAGAGCAATCATTGTTCGTCATATTCACATTTCATTATTTCTCAATGTGTTGTCTAGAAATCCACTATCGAAGTACAACCATGTTCTTGACTTTGGCGAATTGCAAATTTCTCATATCTAAGGTCAATTCTTCTATTCAAAACAATTTAGATGCTCTTATTATTTCGTTCTATAAAAGGTGCCATCTTTGTATATTGCTAGCATATGTCTGTCAGGATGGCTGGTCCGGCTTCGGCGAAGATTGTTACCAGTTTCTTGGTGAATTTGAATTTATACATGCCGTGGTATGTATGATGAATTTTCATTTATCTTTAATTATACTTTTCCCTTAATTAATATTTATAATATGTTGGTAGCTGGTTATAATAAAGTTCCTGGTTTTGCAAACATATTTGTAGCTTATATTTGTTGGACCATTCCAAGTTTTTTTTTTTATCTTACACCCAAAATTAAAAAAAAAGTTACATTAGTATCCATCTTTATGAAGAAAAACATACTGACAACGAAATTATAAAGTTACTATGATTATTTGAGAATATTTTCTGTATATTATACAAAACTTGTTTGGATATTTCATTGCTTTGGAACCCATCCACTGATCACATTTTTTTTTATTAACCTCTAAACTACATATACTTCATTAAGGTTTACTTCCCCTTAATTTACAAGACCCATTGCATGTTAATTAATAATTGCTAAATTTAGAAAGAAAAACGTCAATCTATTAGAATGCCTTCCAAATGCATGATGCAACTAATGGTTAAAACAATTAAAAAGGAGATTCATTGCACCTTGTCATGTATAACAAGCATAATTCAAATATGAATTATTCAAATACTTTTTATCCTATAAATTTTTAATTTTAAATTTGTTAATTAACAAATGCTTCTTTAAAGTGAACTGAATTAATCCACAAAGAACTATATGCGGTATATTGCATATATTTGCCCCCACAAAAGTCAAATTTTGAAAACTTCCTGAAATGTGCTGAATTCAATAAATTGTATGAGGAATATAAATTAACAGAAAATATTATAGTCTCAAAGCAGAGTATTCACAATTTTTGTTTTTATGACGTCACAAACTAGTCCGATTTTATATCCTTTTTCAGAAAGAGGACGAAATGGACAAAATTTCAACAATTTTAGCTTTAAAATTTATAGAGCGCAAGTTTGTTCAGGAACAATATTGACATATTTCATTGATATTATCATTTTACACATTATTTCAAAATATTGATCCTGAACACACATGCGCTCGGTGACTTTTACTCCTAATATCGACGCAATATGTACATTTTTCTGTAAAATTAATAAAAAAACTGAAATTAACGTCATGTTTGTGACGTCATTACGTACATATGGCGTCATTACTTATGAAAATATTCAGTGCTTTGAAGTCAGCATATACTCCCCTGTTTAAGAACTTAATTAAATATATCTCCATCAAAGTTTGATTTGGGGGGGGGGGGGGGGGCAAATATTGGTTATTACCGAATAAAGTTTTTTTGTTCAACCATATAATGGGCCTAAGGTTGCACTTGAATATGAGTGAAGTAAAATTTTGAAAGAGTAAATCAAAATGAAAAAAAAATTATCATTAATTTCTTCAAAGAAATTAAAAAGGAATTTTTTTTGTAAAAAGATTAATTAAAATGAAAATTTAACCGTCATTTTCTTAAAAGAATTTCAGTCACGAACTTACAGTCAGCGAACTTTGTGGTCTATTAAGGTAGGATTCTTCTCTGTTTTCTGACTAGATAAAACATTCAAAGTATATTTGCTTATATGTCTTATATATTGAGGTGTAAGAAATTTAAAAGACCATATTTTTCTTTCCTCATCACAATTGTACAACTTTAAATAGAAATGGTAAACTGCGTTTGAAAACTACCAGGGACTATATTTTTGGCGGAATGCTGGCGTATGAAAATATTTTCTTTTCTGCCTCTCAAAATTATAATAGAACAATGAATTTAGTTATTATTTTCACACAATCAAAGACTTGGAGAAATTTTCAAATGTAAGTTAAATTAATAATGAGGGACTAAACTTTCAAAATATATCAAATATATATGAATTTTCAAACAAACTAAAATTTTGTTAGCTTTTAAACGCTTCCTATCAAAGTGCAGATTTGAGCCAAAAATCCATAAAAAGTATTTTTTCTCTCTTAGTAAACGATCAAAACTTTTTGTTTTTGTATCATTTTGTATATTTTTATTACTACTTTATCATATGTGAAAATAAGAAAAAGTTAGATATAGGAAGCATATGAAAAAAAACTAATATATCCTAAAAAATTAACAAAAACAGAGAAAATTCGGATTGGCCAATATCCAGTTAAGATATATTATTTATGTAAATTTGGTATTATCATGCTATAGACCTGATATAGTAAAATGTTTTTATGCAAAAAGAACAATCTTTAAACTTTTGAATTAGAAGTAGGTATCACATGATTGGCAACAGTATTCTTTTATTCTTAATGTCAAGGAAAAAGATAATGACCTTGACCTGACCTTGCCTCTAATATAAAGCGGTCAAATTTAATTTCACTGATACTATCACTTACTGATATTGTCTTCTTGATTCTGTGAAAATTTCATTAATTTTTAAATATTAGAAATGTGAGAAGAATCCTACCTTAAGACCGGAAGCACTAAAATTGTTAGAGTGTATGTAAATATATAATTCCTGATAGAGAAAAATTAGGGCATGTAGTGCATTGTTTCGTAACAAATCCTCAACAACCCTCAGGTTTTAAATTTACAGACAATGGTAATATGATTGAAATTATGTTTCGAAGAGATATATGAATATTTTTCCCGATAGCTTATTTATTTTCTTTATTTGTTGTTTAACGTCGTTCTCGAGAATTTTTCACTCATGTGGAGACGCCACCACTTGTAAACAGAGGGCTAAAATATCTATAACTCGGCGCTAAGCATCATTAAGCAGTGAGGAGTCTTTTTCGTGGCAGCACCTACTGCGACACGGGGTCTCTGTTTTTGCAATCTCATCCGAAGGACCTGTCTCCACGTACAAAACAGTGGATCCGAACCCGTGACGTAAGGATCAGCTCCTTACTATGCGACTCTACAGCTTTACAATCATCTCTGGTCAATAAAACATCCAAATAGGAAGCAATACAACTACCGTATATACTCGCCTATAAGTCGGTCCGCCTATAAGTCGGTTGCATTTAATTAGCTTGTGTACCAGATGGACAGACCTCATATAAAATCATACTTTTAATATCTCGCCTATAAGTCGGACAACGAGTTTAAGACCAGAGATTAACTCCCTAAAAACCGACTTATAGGCGAGTATATACGGTATGACAGATTCCGTTAACAATCTGCTAGCTCCCAATACTTTATGCACCATTCGGTGTACCTATAGTTGTACACTAAAAAACATTTTCTCTCAAAATATTACGATTCCCACATACTCTTCTAGACTGATTGTACAGTGCTTGTCAAAGATATATTTTATTGACTAAGTTCAGTCGCGGCTGTGATTCAAACACAAGACCTTCTGGTCACAGAACAAGAGCTCTATCGCCTGAGCTACCACACGTTGAGGGAGAAATCACTATGTCAAAAACAGTAAGCAATAGAGACTGGAGGCAAAAAGTGTAAGAAGCATAGGGATTGAGCATATAGTGCACATGTAACAAGAAACAACTAAAGGAAACAGAAAAACTAGTTTTAAGACAAACAGAAATCAAGTAAAGGGGGCAAACTTTATGAGAAAAGTAAGTGGGAATTGTAAAATATATTTTGAGAGAAATTGTGTTTTAATGTACAAACTGTACAACTATATGTACATCAAATAGTGCATGAACTATTAGGCTCTAGGTAGGAGCTAGCAAATTGTTAACGGAATCTGTCATAGTTGTATTGCTTTACCTCTACTGATTATTACACTACCCCCCTTTACTGATTATGCAATACTTATTACACTATTTCCTCCCTAAACTTATTACACTTTTCTCTCTCTATAGATTTTAATACACAATTTGCTCCAACTTCTTACCAGTATTACACTTTCCCTTTACCTGTTAAACTGTATGCTCCCAAGATGTTTTACCATAACACTCTGAATAGAAATTGCTCTCTATACTTGTTATAATACCGTTTTCCCTCTCTTACTTGTCATACTGTTTTGCTTCCTTACTTAATAAAATTACTATACAATTGTCACTCACGTGTTCCTTGTAGACTATCTGCGCCAATTTAGGGGCTAATGTACTGGAACTCCAAAGTTCACTTGAAGAGAAATGGGTTGATTTGCAATGTCGAATCAGAGGTATGTATTTCAATTTGCTTCAATGATTTGTATGGCACGCCAAATTCACAAAAATGAGCTAAACATAGTTTTACAGATGATAAACTAGGTTTATCGACTGTAAACTATAGTTTACAAACCGTGAACTATTGTTAACAATTTGTTAACTATATAACGTTCTAGTTTTCAGTTCTGAAACATAGATTACAGCGTTAACTATGGTTTATAGATGTAAAATATAGATTAACGTTGTTAACTATAGTTTACAGTCCGTAAACTATAGTTTACAACCGATAAACCTAGTTTATCGACTGTGAAACTATGTTTAGCTCACTTGTGTGAATTTGGCGTGCCATAGATTTGTTTTATATCTACCATAAATAAATTTCATTTTCTTTTACTGTAATAAATTTTAGATAACTAATTTCGGTAGAGTTTTTTGTCAATGCCATGTAAGTTTGTCACTCCTTAACTCTTTACAACTTACTAAACTGTTGTACAACATACACTTAAGGTAGTCCGATCCTCAGGTTTATAAGTTTAGCAGTTAAGTAATCCAAAATACTCATGAAAGTATCTCTGAATCCACAAAGTTATGTAAATTTATCCACAGTATTTCTTTAAAGTTAAAGATCAAAATTAATCATATTACTAGTATATAGGGAAAAATGTCAAATCTCCATTATTTTTGCAGAAAAAGCGAATTGGAATATCAGCAATGCATTTTCTTATTATTCAATTTCTTATCAAATTGATCAACAAATATATTTTAGAAAAAAACATCTTTTCGTGTTACATGTCTATATGTAGATACAGCTTTCTGTCATCGCTAAAAATAAACCATACTGTATCGTTGATATTTTTAAGATACGATCATTTGCATAAGAAACGCCCACGAAAAGCGTTCTGTATCGCAGTTACAGTACCCTTGACTTCAAAGGAAAACTCGCCATGTCACAAAAGGGTTCAGGAAATGGGAAATAAAAGACATACTGAAACATGATGAACAAGTGATTAGAATATATTTACCACATGAGCTTATCTAATCAAATATCAATGTTTTTTATTCATGACTAACTTTCCTATCTACCACCACTTTCAGATTGTCTGAGCGGAGCCTGGCTTGGAATCAGTGACCTTTCTGAGGAGAGGAAGTTTCTGTCAGTGTCACAGGCGAGACCCCCTCAATACCTTCACTGGGGGTGGGGAGAACTCTTCGACAAAAACAGCGGAGAAAACTGTGTGGCTCTCTCCAAACGCAAGAGAGCGTGGGTCACAACTTCTTGTCTTAGCAAATATAACATTGTGTGCAAGAAACCCATGTCTTTTATTTGAGAATAAAATAAAATTGATCACAAAATGTTTTGAAATAATTTTGAATGTACCCATTACAGAAAAGGAGATGGGTGAACTTAGCGTGCAGAAAGCCCATACAATCAAAGTACTCAGAAGTACAGAGAGCCGGGCTCATTTACAGAGTAGAATGGATTTCTTACATGAATCACGTTTACATTCTGATGAAAAAATTATTTTAAAACTATTAATATAAATGATAAGACACTGAGAGTGAGTTTTTCAATCCTAATACCACGGTCCGATTTTGTCAGAATCAGAATTAATCTGGTACCGCAGCTGAATGTAAACAAACAGGCCAGTCTGGTTCCCTCTCTTGCTTTACCTCGTATGTGTAGAGAACTTTTTAAACACTGATTATCAAAAATCCTTACGCTAATGAACTATGTTCTTTGACTTATGAAGTTTTCAAAGTCATTACTACTAATGTTTATTTTGTATAGATAAAACTTCGTTTTATTTTTGTTGCTTTATTTAGCGTTTGTATTATCTCAAAAGCGGTTGAGAGTAAGAACTATATTTTTGCACGTAACTTTAAAATGGCGACTATGGGGTCAACATCCTGCCTTGAACAGGATCACATAAGCTGGCAATTGCTCTTTGAGCAATAAGCCCGGCTAAAAATCATATTCAAATAGGATTTAGTATTTAGAGTAAAGTTCTCATCATTGATTTTTATGAAATCATGATCAACAGAAAGTTTTGAGGAAAATTTTTCGTTAAAATTTATTCTTTTACAATGTATATAAAAAAAATAATGTGGTATCCATTGGGTTCGAACCCTGGCAATAAAATTCCCGAGTTGCATTCTCTTTTGAGCTCAGCACGCTAACCACTATGCTACACAAGTACATGTACTGATGTGTTGTGGCATTTAAATCATGTTTGTGGTATGACTATTGACTTAAGGGACTTCAAGTATTTCTCGAAAAGTTACGCAAGTTATGTCATAAAATTATATTTTTAAGGTATAGTGGGTCTTTGCTCCATAATTTTGGAAACCAAAATATGTATGTTTGTATACAAACTTCAAGGATTAACTTTCCAAAAAATGGAGAGAAGACCCACTCATATCGAAAACTAGTGTTATAGTGCGGAAAAATGACTTGTGTTGTCCTCTTTCCTGTGTGTATAATATTTCATAGGCAAATAACTTCAATGTTCATGAGATTTGTGCAAGTTGTAGAAGTTTTACATAAAGTATATACTTTAATGTTAGATGAAATATTAAGAAAATTTTGATAAAATTGAGATTTAATTTTTCACCTTCATGTTTGTCGCGCTATAGTCTGGTCCGATTTATAGAAAAAATTACTTCTATCGGCAAATAATTATTATTTGGTCCAGCATAGCTTTTTTTAAACCTATTTAGAGTATGCGGAATCCGAAAAAATATGCTGGCCTTCATGAAAATGGCGTTAAAGAGGTCAAAATGGCAATTCAAAATGGCGGACATCCAATTTTCATGTCGTTCAAAATGGAGAAGTAATGACTGAATATTTAACTGAGTGTAATAAAACTATAAAAAGGATAATAGAATGCTAACATTATTAGTTTTACTCAGAAAATTTAGTCGTTTCTACACTTAATTCGAATTTTCTCTGATTTATTTGTCTATTGTTCTATATTCTGCTTTGTTCAGTATCCATACACTGCAGATTTGTATTTTTTCCTCTGCATTTTCTACAATTTTCTACTATTTCTACAAATGAATGATGGTGCAGCTGTAAGTTAAAGTCAAAATGGCGATTCAAAATGGCGGATATTCATTTTTTCAAATTATTTCTTAATGTCGTTTTCATAGGAGAAAGGGTTTGTGAATATCTTACCGAGCGTAGTACAACTATGTAAAAAGAACACTAATATTATCACTTTAATTCGGAAAATTTATATAGTTGTTTAAATTTGAAATGTGTTAATTAGTTCAAAATGGCGATTCAAAATGACGTCATATTCACTCGAATTTTGTAAAATACCCAAACTGCATTAAATATGAACAAACAAAAAATACTAGATTTTTTTTTCTGGAAATAGTTAAAACAAACTCGACTTAAGAGTTTCCAAATTTTCCCCCTCGTATTTGACCGTGTTCCAAAGCCTTTGAGCCCCGATCCACCTAAATTCATTCCTGAATCGCTGTCATTATTAACTCGCACTTCTACTTTGAACAACATCCCTCAACACACCATCAAATATAACTGAAGAAATTCTTGTCCTATTTCATCGGAAACTTTGTACTAGCGTTTGAAATTAGCACTTATAAGAACTTAAATTTATCCCCTAACATCTTCTATTCCAGCTTTATTATACCCCCCGCTTGAAAAGCGGGAGGGTATATAGTAATCGGTATTTCCGTCCGTCCGTCCGCCTGTACGTCTGTCCGTCCGTCCGTCTGTTACGCTTTGGGGTACCCATCTCTTATCCGCAACTCCTCTCATACCGCTGAATGAAATTTGATGAAACTTTCACAGAATCTTTATTACATATTGCCATTGTGCACCTCCTATTTTACTTTTTGATCCGACACATATTTTGGGTTTCCCGGCCACAGGAATACATGGACTTTTTCACCAGTTAAAACCATATGGGAGGCGGGGGTATGATTTAGTGAGCTCATCGCTCACAGTACCTCTAGTTTTCTATATGTTTCAGTCTGTCTTCGGAATTTTGGTATTTTCAACACTCAAGTAAAATGGTGCCCCGTGTCAAGGATGACACCCCCTTGGCACGTAAAAGATCATTTCTCTGGAATTCGAAAAAGAGTAAGCTCACTGGGGGCCGCCAGAGAAACCAAAATCCTTCAAAAACCGATTATTATACTACCCGCTTGAAAAGCGGGAGGGTATACTGTATGTATATCCGTCTGTACGTCCGTCCTTCGATCCATCCGTCTGTCTGTTACGCTTTGGGGTACCCATCTCTTATCCGCAACTCCTCTTATACCACTGAGTGAAATTTAATGAAACTTTCACAGAATCTTTATAACATATTGCCATTGTGCACCTCCTATTTTACTTTTTGATTCCACACATTTTTTGGGTTTCCCGGCCACAGCAAAACACGGACTTTGCTATTATAACCATATGGGACGTGGGGGTATCATTTAGTGAGCTCATTGCTCACAGTACCTCTAGTTTAAACTGATAGTCCGCTGAAATAGGCTGAAAAATTTCCGACTCGGCGTTAAACAATATACAATCAATCAACACTCAAGGAACAAACATTTATGCTCAAATTTTAACAGTATATTTTGTTTTCCAAAACCTTATGCAAAATGAACTAGAGGTACTGTAAGCAATTAGCTCACTAAATGATACTCCCATCTCCCATATAAATATAATGACAGTGTTCATGCTTTGCTATGGGAAACCCAAAATATGTGTCGGCTCAAAAAGGAAAATAGGAGGTGCACAATGGCAATATGTAATAAAAAATTCTGTGAAAGTTTTATCAAATTTCATTCAGTGGTATGATAGGAGTTGCAGATAAGAAATGGGTACCCCAAATATTAACAAACACGGACATAAATTTTTCCCCTCCCGCTTTTCAAGCGGGGGGTATAAATCAAATCTCTGATATTCAAGACATGTAACTCTTTATTTTGTGACTGCGTATAGATTTGTTGTCTTTTAGGGTAGAAAGGTTATTGTATTAGCAAGAAAATTCTCAAACTTTATCATCTGGAATCACATTCTGTGCATATTTTGGTGAGAAAAGTTGTATAATTATGCAATTTAAGAGCACCTGCAGATTCCTCGTGTTTCCTATCACCTACAAGCTTCCGTACCAATAGGCCTAAGCCATTCTTGACTTCGATCTAATCAACACTTCTCTTGACAACAAAATTTTCTTGAACACTCCAAGAACTTTACAAGGCAACTTGATCCACACTTCTTTGTTAGGATAGTGTAAGGTTGTATCAAGAATCGAGGCGGATCAATTGAACTCAAACATTTTCTACTTTCAGATTTTGTAAATTTCAAATTTTTAAAAAAATTTATTATACATGTACACTGTTCAATACAATATTAACCGTTCACAACATGATATATTTGAGAATGCAGTTGAATTTTTGACTGAGAATAACAAAATGAAAATGTAGGGACACAGAATCAGAGCTGGACAATCAAGAAAATTTATGGTTTACGTATATTATACTGATAATTCTTCATAAATGCTTATACTTGGAAATTATATGTTCAGATTTATATGATGTAACAATTACTAGCCCTCTAATTGGTCGTGGTCCATCATTTTAAAAATCATACTAAGTTATGTTGCACTAGACCTTCCACATGAACATAAACATTTATTTTTTTTTTCGACACTGGACTAAAAATAGATCAAGAATTTCTAACAACTGATATGATTTAGCAACCCTCAAACTACAATGTTCACTCGCCTTTATGCTCGGGGAATACTGCTCATGGGGTAGCTTAATTTTCATATTGTCCTCAAAACATGCCGCAATCACTGTATGATATTATTAACTTTTTATATAAAGAAGCATGGTTAGACAGGTAATAAGTGAAAATGTCTTCGGAATTATCGTCAAAAATTTATCTTAATAATAGAAATATATTAAACAAAAATCCGTGTTATAAAAATCCTAAGTCATTAACAAAAATGTCCTCCAAAACTGTAATCTATTTTCTGCAAAACGAATCAGAATTAAGCAGTTTGGTTAGTTTACAAAAGTCGAGTGAATGCTGTATACAGGGTTATTTTCGCCCCGTGTTATTTTCGCCCTTTTGCACTTGCGAACAATTATGCCCCATTTTAAATTCGCCCATTTATAGTTTTGTTTAAGAAATTATGCTGTGTAATTTTAATTCGCACCGTTTTAAATTCGCCCAATCAGGAAGAGGGCGAAAGGGGCGAAAATAAAACGGGGGCGAAAATTTCCCTGTATACAGTATGACGTCATTTGAATTGCCAATTTGAGCGAATTAATAACACATTTCAAATTTATACGACTAATTTTTCCGAACTAAACTGATCATATTA